CATTTTTTAAGATATAAGCTCATCCTGATATTACGCTCATCGAGACCTTTCATTTGAGTACCCACATTAATTTTTCATATATTTATATATATTATATATTATATATGTATATATGAAAAATATATCAAAAATTGATATGGGTACTCAAATAAAAGGTCTTGATGAGTGTAACATCGGGATGACCTTATATCTTTAAAAATGTCAATCGTGCACAAGATACAAGGTCATTTTTTAATTATTGACATTTTTAAAGATATAAGCTCATTCCGATGTTACACTCATCAAGAGCTTTCATTTAAGTACCCACATGCATTTTCATATATTTTTCATATATTTATATATATTATATATATGTCATATATATAATATATATAAATATATGAAAAATTGATGTGGGTACTGAAATGAAAGGTCTCGATGAATGTAATGTCGGGGTGAGCTCATATCTTTAAAAATGTCAATAGTTCACAAGATACAACATCATTTCTTAATTATGTATCTAAAAGAGCATTTTCGAATGCAGCCTAAATACTTATGATCATAAATTGACTATTGATGAGAATAATATGAAAAAAATTTTTTTATTTATTTAATTCCAATAAATTAAATATAATTTTCAAAAGTTAAATTTTGTAAAAAAAACAAATTTAAATTATTTCAATCAATTATTAAAAATAATAATAATTATTATTGTTATTATTACTTACCACTATCTAGCGGCGGAGCAGTAGGATTAAAATTCCAACTTCCAATTTGTCTAAACCATTTTTTATTACCGTGAATATATGCTCCTGAAAATCAATAAATAATTAATCATTTTAATTAATTATATCAGTAAATTAATTAATTAATATACTTACGTTTTTTAACCAGTAAAGCGAAAATGGATACCGCCAACAATAATAATATAATTCCTGAAGCTACGTAAATTCCTATTGAAAATGTTTCGTTGTCTATAACTAAAAGAAATTATCATTATTATTATTATTATTAAAAATTTTTTATTAAAAATATAAACTTACATGGAGTTTCAGTGGTTCCAGGAACAGGATTAATTTTTTTACAAAAAGCTTCAGGCACACCAGTTGCCAAAATTTCAGCTTTGTACCCAGATATGCATTCCCCGCACTGAGATTCAGATTTGGCCTTGTTTTCACCTTCCAACCTGTTGTACCTTTTGCAAACGGTGTAATTGACACATTGTTGCGATAATTGATAGCAGTATTGGTGCAATGAACAATCAGAGTCACTGTTGCATGAAAATATATCGTCTCCGGCTCTAACCTAAAGAAGAAAAGTAGAAAACAGGACATTTAATAATTGTTAAAAAAAAAATATTTATTTTATAAGATTTATTAATACTTACAGGAGCGAATAAAGCCATGAAATTGATAATGATTATTGTCTGCAACAAAAAAAAATTAATTGGTAAAAAAAAAAAACTATTAAAAATCTTGAAATTACTTTGATTCAGTAAATAATTAATAAAATCCCGTAAAAAATTTAATTAAATGTATAATTCAGTGATTTTTTATGTTTTTTAAGTGCATTGACATAAAAAATCAATGTAAATTTTATTTTTACACGACAATTTAATTAATTATAATGATATTTTGTTAATAGTTTAGAGAAATATGTTTTTTTTAAGGTGAATAACTTTTTTTAATAATAATAATAATAATAATTTTACAATATTTTTGTTTCTATTTTGGTCCTGGTCTGGGTCCTCCGAATTATTTTTTCAGTTGAATTTATCTCTAATGACAAATTTAAAAAAAAAAAAAAAAAAAAATAATAGTTTAGAGAAATATGTTTTTTTAAGGTGAATAACTTTTTTAATAATAATAATAATAATAATTTTACAATATTTTTGTTTCTATTTTGGTCCTGGTCTGGGTCCTCCGAATTATTTTTTCAGTTGAATTTATCTCTAATGACAAATTTAAAAAAAAAAAAAAAAAAAAAAAAAAAAATAAGAATAAAATAATTGTTTATGCCAGGAAGGAATACCGGCTAAAAATTATAAATATTAGTGCATTTGCAAAGTGCAATTAGACTAGATCGCCAATAATAATTGTAAATATAGTCAATTTACAATTGTAAAAAAATATATAATAAAATAATAATAATGTTTATTTAGATAGCTTATAGCTATTTACAATTTACAGTATAAAATTTTTACATACTATTTACAATTTTTTTTTTCATTCGGTTTAACAAAATAGCTTACATTGTCTTTCATATAGTTTTTTAAATGAATTTTAAATTTTCAAGTGTATCGACGCTCAGAATCAATGTAAATGATGTCCTAGTCGATAATCTAATCAATTATAGTCAAATTAGTTAATCACATTAAGTTAAGATAGTAAAATAAAAATATTTTTCTGTTAGAAATTGTAATTTTGGAGCGCATTTATACTCAAAATCAATGTAAATGAAATTCTAGTCAGTATTTTTAACAATTATGGAAAAATTGATGAATAATATCGAGTTGAAGTTTAAATAAACTAATTAGTGTATTTATCCTATAAATTGTAAATTTGAAGCGCATTGACAATCAAAATCAATGTCAATTTTATAGTAAAATATGTTTTTGTATAGTAAAAGAATTTTAGGTAGATTTCGTAGAAATCTATCTATTGCATTGGACCTTGTGTCGGAATTCACACGGAATTTTGTCATTTTATCTCTTATATAGTCGAGTAAAGCTCAAAATTAGCATTGGTTCAAAAGTTTATATATATATGTGATATAACGCGGCTTGTGGACACGGTAGCGTCTACAATCCTCAACGGATTTAGATGAAACTCGGTACACATATTCTTTAGGTAATTACCTTGAACGAGTTCGAAGATGAGCAAAATCGATCAATTAGTTTAGAAATGGCGGTCATTTAAAATTTTCAAAAAAGTGAAAATCACGTTTTCGGCCACTTCATTGATGTATAACTTTCGATTGAACAGAGATAGCTAATTTTTGAAAAATTTATGTGATAGCTCATGAAATTACCTTTAATTTGACGTATATAACATTGACATTTTGACCATTTTTAGTTATTTTATCAAAGTTAAGAGTGCAACTAAACCATTTTCAGGCAATGAGTAGTACAACCGACTCATGTACGTCATTCTATCAAGAATTTCAATCAGTGAAATCTACCTTCCATTTCGGGTGTGGTCGAATGGCGTTTTTTTTTAATTCAGTGTATTGAAGCTTAAAATCACAATGTAAATTATATTCTAGTCGATAATTTAATTAATTACAGTAAAATTAGTCAATAATATCAAGTTAAGATAGCAATAACCATGACTTTTTATTGAAAATTATGATATTGAAGCGCAGTGACACTTAAAATCAATGTAAATGCAATTATAGTCAGTACTTTACTAATAATCTTATTATTATTCTCAACCGTGATTTTTATAATTATTTTAACTCGTTATCACCTTTTCGGTCTTTTTATTATGCTAGTATAAATCTAATTCAAGTGGATGGAAATTTCCGTCTTCACTAACAATTTGAGACAATTCGTCTTCGGATAATGGCAAAATTTACTAATAATGGCAAAATTAATGAGTAATATCGAGTTGAAGTTGTAATTAATTAATAGTGTCTTTATCCTATATATTATTATTATTTTTAATTGCATTGACACTCAAATTTAATGTGAATTTTATTTTATACATAAAAATTAAATTTATTTCAGTGAAAACATGCTCGATTTTTAGTAAAATATCTTTTTGTAAAGTGAAAAACTTTTATTAAGCTTATTGACGCTCAAAATCAATGTAAATGATGTTCCAGTCGATAATTCAATTAATTATAGTAAAATTAGTTAATAATATTGAGTTAAGATAGCAATAAACATGTTTATCTATTAGAAATCATAATTTTGAAGCGCATTGACACTCAAAATCAATGTAAATTTTATTTAAGATAAAAATTAAATTTATTTCAGTAATATCATGTTCAATTTTTAGTAAAAAAATTTTTTTTATAAGGTACAAGAATTTTTTGAGTGTATTGACTTTCAAAATCAATGTAAATACTATTTAATTAGTTATGATTACATTTAAGTAATAAGAAACTCAAATTTCTATACAAAGCACCCACATTTAAAGAATAGAGATTCCAAACTACATTGACGCTCAAAATCAATGTAAATATATTTTTTAATCAATAGTTGTTTTAATTTTTGTAACATTTATTAGTAGTTTAGCGTTAAAGATTAAACTAAAATTGCCTTTATGCTATTTTTGACATTTTTGAATTGCATTGACGCTCAAAATTAAATCAGTTTTTTTTTCTTCATTATTTCAAGATTTACTGATCCAATTATTAATCCTTTTAAAAATAAAAAATTTTTCCAAGCCTCAAATAAGAACAATAATAAAAAATAGAAAGTCTTATTACACAACACCAAAAAAAGATTCCCATAGCCAAAAAAAAAAAGAAAAAAAACCCAAGTTCGATGAACGCATAAAACATATTAAAATTTATAGTATTATTTCGTGACAACCTGTACCCTGGCACTAATTTAGTATCATCGATCACAGGTCAAGATCTGAGATATATTAGATATATTATAGAATCACCATCATAATACAAACAGCAATCGTAATAATGATGATAATAATAATGAGGATTAAAAATCCGTGCAGAGAAAATAGAAATGCGGACGATGAGTGTTCCAGTACACATATATATGTAAATACATAAATTAAATATCCACATTACATATACATATATAATATTTTTACACACATAGCGCATACGGTGAGATGAAAGAAATAAAAAAATTTAAAAAAGTGAATGTGTTTTTATGGCAGCGGAAACTCTGCACATTCCGAATCCACTTACGTGGCATCATTTTATTGGCTCTTGTTTTTTAAATCTCAAGCTTGAAGGGTTAATTATTGTTATTATTATTATTAAAAATTTAAAAATAATAATAATAATAAAATAATAATAAAATAAAATTTTGCTTTATTAAAAATCACTTTTGTTAAATTGCACTGTACTTTCTCAAATATTGACATTTTTAATGATATAAGCTCATCTCGATGTTACACTCATCAAGAGCTTTCATTTGAGTACCCACATGCATTTTTATATATTTTTCATATATACATATATGTAATATATATAAATATACGAAAAATTTATGTGGGTACTCAAATGAAAGGTCTCGATGAGTGTAACATCGGGATGAGCTTATATCTTTAAAAATGTCAATAGTTCACAAGATACAAGGTAATTTCTTAATTATTGACATTTTTCAAGATTTAAATTCATTTCGATGTTACACCGATCGAGACCGTTCATTTGAATACACACATCAATTTTTCATATATTTATATATATTTCACAAATACCATGTATATAAAATATATAAAAAATGCCATCGAAATGAGTTTACATCTTGAAGAATGTCAATAATTAAGAAATGACCTTGTATCTTGTGAACTTTTGACATTTTTAAAAATATAAGCTCACCCCGACTTTACACAAATCGAGACCTTTCATTTGAGTACCAACATGGCATTTTTTGTATTATAAATATATATGAAATATATATATAATATATAAGATATACTAAAAATTCAAGTGGGTACTCAAATGAAAGGTCTCGATAAGTGTAACATCGGGATGAGCTTATATCTTTAAAAATGTCAATAGTTCACAAGATACAAGGTAATTTCTTAATTATTGACATTTTTCAAGATGTAAACTCATTTCGATGTTACACCCATCGAGACCTTTCATTTGAGTACTCACATGGCATTTTATATATATATTTTATATATATATGGTATTTGTGAAATATATATAATATACAAAATATACTAAAAATTCAAGTGGGTACTCAAATGAAAGGTCTCGATGAGTGTAACATCGGGGTGAGCTTATATCTTTAAAAATGTCAATAGTTCACGAGATACAAGGTCATTTCTTAATTATGTAGCTAGAGATAGAGTATTTTTGAATGCAGCCTAAATTCTTATCATAATAAATTGAGTATTGGTGAGAATGATATGAAACCTTGATAAGGCACAAATTCAAATCAAGACCTTTGCAATGACACTAAATTTCACTAAAAATCCCGATTTTATCATATGATTATCCTGAACACAAAATTTTTTTTATTTTATTTATAATATATATAATGATAATAATAATAACAAATTTTCTTGAAAATTTAACCAAAAAATTTTCAAATTAATCTTTCTTCATTATAATTTTTTTGTTTAATTAAATTATAAAGAAGATATCCAGAAAAAATAATTAGCATTAAATTTTATTTATTAAACCCTACACAGTAAAAAATTTTGCTTCATTGCGTCAAAAATTTTTGTGTTAAATATTTAACACTTTTATGTGTAAATTTAACATTTATTCTGTCAAATCAACACA